GTTTGGCGGGTTTCTTCAAACCATTGTTTCACGTTTATTTTTTTCCATTTTAATAAAAAAAAATTACATCTTTAAAACTCAATCAAACCATTTTTTTTTTTTTTTTTGTTTAAAAAAAAAAAAAAAAAAAAAAAAAAAAAAAAAAAAAAAAAAAAAGGTGCGTCGGAGGAACAAAGGTAAGATGCACGTCGAATTTCACAAAAAAAGAAGAAAAATTTTAATTGAGGTCTTCCTTTCTAGATAAAATCCGGAAAAAAATGTAATAATGAATCTCGTAAGTTCGCGAAGTCGATGAAATTTTTGTTGGGTTAATAAGTAGGAAGGAAAGAGGAGGAAAAAAAAAAAAAAGAAAAAAAAAGAAAAAAAAAAAGGATAAATCAATGACCTGTAGTTGGGGAATGGACGCATGGACGCGTGCAAAATTATTAGACCTGGGCAGCTCCTGCGCGCGTCTGGTGTTTATCGAAGTACCTAAGAGGCCGGGGTAGGTACCTAGGTAAGTACCAGGTAAGCTGGTAAACCCTCAACTTGGGCTAGCTTGAATGTAGAATGTAAAAATGGGATGCGAATCTCGCACCCAACCAGTAGGTGCAGCAGGTAAAGCAGGTAGCAATACCTCCCAGGTGCAGGAGGCTAACTCTGACAATTGAATGGGTACAACCTGAGTACATCCAATGCGTGCACCTCAGTGCGCGCATGGATGGATGGATGGATGAGGTGAAATTAATTTATTTTTTCTTATTTTCCAATAATTCCTCTTGCTTTGCTCTTTGATAAAGTCCACACGGTTATTCGATCCTGGAATTTTTTCAATTTTTAATTTAATTAAATTTTATTTCATTTCTTTTGAATTTACTCTTGGGGAAAAAAGAGTGTGTATTTGTCTATTGAGCAAACTTGATACAATACAGTACAAATGCAATACATAAAAGAGTCAAGTAAACACACGTATTCTCTTATCCTTATTAATTCACCCCTGGAATCACCCCTATTACTATGCTTTACTCACAACCCCATAGCAAAATCCAAACACCTTTTTTTTTCTCAATTACTTACTCTACTTAATTTCATTTAATTTTCTGTAATTCTTTTTTTTTAAAAAAAAAAAAAATCGCAGTGACAAATACAGGTACCTACCTAAAGTATGATGAAAAGTGCCCCAAGTCTGGTAGAACAGAATAAGATCTAACTGGGTTCCTCTGATTTCTGTAGATGAGGAAATCAGGGTCCTGAAGCAATCATTATAATGATGGATTGATTATATCTTACGCAGCGACAGGCAGCCTACTTTAAAGCGACAATGATCACGCCGATGAAGTAGGTCCTCATGAAGAGCAATCCTGTATCGCGAAACATTTATCCTCGTTACTAAATACAATCGTAACAGGATATAGGTTGTCTATCAAGATCTTTACACACAAGGGACACATATATTCCCTTTCCAGTTACAGAGACCCGATATTCCATAAGTTCTTACCGCAAAATCTAACCTAAAGTTAGGTCTAAGGTAACTCCACCATTCCCCCCGTGTTAGTCCCCAAGTGAAGCAAGCAGGTAAGGACATACACGTATCTCAGCTATGCGTGACGCAACTTACAAGTCTGCTAAATTAAACAGCCATGTCTGTTGGTAGACAGTGTCTTACTCACTTATACAAGTCTTCATCATCAACTCGGAGTCGACAAGTGTCATTCATAGCCACGTGGTATGTGAACACAAATGGCTGCACTAATTAAGGAACCTGTCCTCGGAGACCTCCATTACATACATTAGGTACAAAAATGCTAAAGCAGGAGGACATGCCTAATGATGTCTCACTATCACGACCGACCCGAAAAGCAACAACACGCAAATCAGGCTGAAATGAGAGCTGAGGTTCTCTCTTGCATACCTACCTACCTAGGCACCTAGGTACATAGAGGCTGGCTATGCTTGATTATGATAGGATAAAACGCCAGGTTCGTTAACGGCAGCCTCCGGTTGGAGATAAGTAGGGGCCGTCCTAGCGGATAAGCTATCTCCGCAGAACAATAGATCAGCCAGTAGTATACCTATGTAATGATTAATCTCCCCGGTATCTATTCTCCACTCCCCGGACCGCCCCGTCGTTTCCCGGGGGTTACCCAGGTACGCTTTGCCTGCTAGGTAGTAGATCTATGTGCGTATCACAGCACAAAGGGGACAAAAAGAAGAAGCTATCGAAACAATTCAAGCAAACCTATTACGATGTGTTGATCATGCTTATGCTTATCTACCTGATATATTAACCGGCCCCAAGACCGCATCGCGCATATCTCGGATCGGCCCGAGACCTGTTGTTATACTTGGTAGAAGTCTAAGCTGTACCTACATACATAAAAAGAGGCTCGAGGCAACTTTCTCACTCATCCCGAAACATAACTAAACTACTCCATACTCCTCTCTTCACCAACTCACCACTCCATCTCATTCATAAAAAAGAAAAAAAAAAATCAAGTCTCCCTACCATGGCGGACTCCACCACCACCACCACCACAAAATACACCAACCGTCCGATCCCGCGCATCTCCCTGCGGGACTTCGACGCGCGCATCGACGCCATCACCTCGGCGCTGGTCTCGGCCGCCGAGACCAGCGGGTTCTTCGCGGTGGTCGACCACGGGATCCCGGCCTCGGCCATCGCGGCGCAGTTCTCCCTGGCCGAGGCCTTCTTCTCGCTCCCGGACCCGGTCAAGGCCCGCGTGCCCTTCTCCCCGCGCTCCAACACCGGCTGGGAGCGCGCCGCCCAGGCCCGCCCGAGCACGGGGCGGCCCGACCAGAAGGAGAGCTTCCAGGTGCAGTTCGGGATGCCGGAGAGCTCCTGGCCGCCCGAGCCCGAACCCGAATCGGAGTCCGAGGTTGGGGCCGGGGCTGGAGGTAAGAGTGGTGCGGGTGCGGTCGAGGCGGTTGGGATGGCAGGCTTCAAGCAGAAGACCCTCGAGTTCATGCGCCTGGCGCAGGGCGTCAGCGAGAAGCTGATGGTGTGCTTCGCGCGGGGGCTCGGGTTCCCGGACGCGTACTTCGTGCGGGCGCACGACGTGCGGCGGGCGGGGGCGCAGACCGTCCTGCGCCTGCTCAAGTACTTCGCGCTGGACCCGGCGGCGGGGCCTGCGCCGGAAGGGTACCACCGCGCGGGCGCGCACGCCGACTGGGACTTCGTCACCCTGCTGTTCCAGCGCCCCGGCCAGGGCGGCCTGGAGATATGTCCCGGGCGGGAGGCCTTTACCGAGTTCGGCCTGGAGGATACCTGGACGCCCGTCGAGCCCGTGGAGGGCGAGATCGTGTGCAACATGTAAGTCGAGTCGACTGCAATCTCTTCTCTGCTCTCCCCTACATGATTCTTTCTTTTTCCCCTCTGCCTTTTATGAATTTTTCTGGTATATATATATATACTATCTCATGTGAAGAATACAGGCGGGAGGGGAAAGGATACAAGAAAAAGAAGGAGCAACTAACACGTAAGTTCAAACAAACAGTGGCGACCTCCTGATGAGCTGGAGCGACGACCGGTTCAAGTCCACGTTCCACCGCGTCAAGACGCCGACGGACCCGGCCACCGACTACTACGGCACGCGGTACAGCATGGCGTACTTCAACCAGCCCAACGTCGACTGCGAGATCCAGGGCCCCTTGAAGAAGTACCCGATGGTGACGGGCTCGGAGTTCACCCAGGCGGCCATGAAGCGCAACTACGAGGCTCTGCAGGCGACGAAGGCGGCGATGGTGGACAAGACAGGTGGTGAGAAAGGGGGGGATTTAGTAGTTGCGGCGGCAGCATAATTCCTTGGTTTTCTTTTTTCTTTTCTTTTCTTTTCTTTTCTTCTCTTTTCTTCTTTTTTGAGGTTTCTTGTCTGTGGTTAGTAGTAATGATGGTGGTAGTGGTCTCTCCGGACAGCGAAAAGGATATGGTATGCTACCTCATATAAGCCACAACAACACCAAAAAACATCACGTACGACCATAGAATCAGGAAAACTCGGGATCCCGTCCGCTCTCCCCTAGATAAACCTGATATCGCTGGATCAGTAGTCGGGTCGGTGACGACCGGCGAATCCCCAGTGTTGTACGTTTATATTTTTTGCTGGTTTGTTATGTTGCTTTCCAGGAACATGACGGCTTGGTTAAGAGGCACAATCTCGTATGAACACATGAATGAGAAATGAAGATAGGAATGTCGAAACCCTTCATCGAGGCTTCCACGTGAATGGACATTGTCTGCTTTGATGCTAATTGCCTGTCTCAGCTGTACATAGTACTCACTAGGTGATGCCTTAGGGGCAATACTAGTTTAGCGTATATTATCTCTGGTGTGTTTTGTTGCTTTCATAGTCTCAGACCTTTTCGTTATAAACATACGATCCACTAGCAAATGGTCATTTTTGACTCAGACGCCATGTGGCACTAACTGCTTCATCTAATATCATAATGACTCCCTAGATAAAGTCTGCATGCCCAGAGAATTCAAGACTATACTAGTACCTACCTGTAGTCATAGTTAGTGCAATGTTGAAAGTATCCAAGCTGTACTGGAATTTGTCTCATACCCAACAGAATCAACTAACCGTTAGCTGTTTACAATCACATATTTACCTATTCTTCACCCACAAACCCACAAATTCCCTGTATTCACAGGCGTAGGTAGGTGTCTTTCTCCGACTTATTAAGACGTATACCCTTCTTAATAAATATACCGTACTTAAAGTAGTTTACTCGACTCAGATTTACGGTAGCATATTGTCATAAAAAAACCAAGCTTCCTTGATTGTATTGCGATAAACCACGAGGACAGACTCATTTATTAATAGCTCGAAGTAAAAGATATGGGGCAACTAACCTACTGCTACGGTAAGGGAGGGAAGGAGAACGATATTAATAGCAGAGTAGAGCACGAAAGTAAAATATACCTCCTACCTAACTCGGTACCTAAGGTACTGTGGAACTTCGGTTGGATCAAGTGAGATACCTACGAAACCTAGACACTCAAAGCGAAGCCACTCGTCACATTATTAAACTATCGATCACGATCACATAGTCACTGCCAAAAAAGTAACAGAAAAATGAAAACAAGTGTGCGTATAGCAACCGTAAACAAATCAATGCGGGGAGACTTTGCAGTCAGAAGCACTATCTAGCAAACCCTGTCCACGAATGGGGGCTGAGATGGCTGCTCTTCTTTCCCAAGCAAGCAAAAAAATTATATACTCAAACAAGAGCTTAGAGTATGCCTCATCGCCTTTCCGGTGCCGTGCGGCCCCCGCCTAAATTATGACTAGTAAGATAGTCCTGTTGGCAACGCCAACGAAGAATCAACAAGAAATAAAAGGTTTTTTTTTTGTCAACGCCTGCCTCCCTGCCTGTGCTTCCTTGCTTCCTTGCTTGCTTGTTTGCCATGCCACCCTGTCCAGCCCTCCCAGGACCGTTACGCCTGAACTCATGCTGAAAACCTGTCCGCAATGCCAAAGCCTCGCCGATTAGGCCGAGAGCTGCGTAAAAAAACCGTTGCAGGAAAGCAAATGTATCGAACGTAAAAGAAACACAAAGAAAACCTCGCGAATCGAGATGTCTCATGAGGGTCATAAACCACGTATGACATCGTAAATGGCGGCACATCCATGCCGGCTTATTAGTTGACCAGGTAACAACCTGTGTCGGTAACATCGGTGACGACGACCGAATCTATGGAAACTGAAGAAATGTTTTATCCCGTTTCGCCACGTTCGTTATTAGTCTACGTATGTAATACACCGGTACTTTGATCGGTTATCATTGCCGAGCTCGTAAGAAGACCACGGTCGAAAGAATTAACTCAACCCAAGATAGGGAGTGGCATCGACACAGTACGCGATGCTGAGTAGATCTCAGTGTTGGTAAGATCATACATGTGCGGATATCCGCGCTGGAAGGGAAGTCTGAAACCGTGTATGATCTGTTCCTCGACAAACAGAGCCACGCGCTTGAAGAGACGAGTCGAATATTTCTCGAAGACTGCTCGATGATGCTTACGGGCAATTCGGCAGCAGTCAAAAATCATTCCGACCAACGGCTTCAACTGGGCAAACGTATAGCCGGAATAATGAACATGTTCGGGAGTCTGCGAGGCAAATTAGATATATGTATATCGTTTTCGAAAAGATGTCAACTTACCCAGTCACCTTTGCCCAAAATCATGCGTGAAAGGCATTGGGCACCAGCGGCCACATAGCTAGGAGGACTCGAGACGAAGCGCTCGTCCATAACGGTAACCTCGAGGAAGTACTTGGCTACGGTTCGAATCTCACTGTCGTAGTCGTCCGCCTTGCTGATACGTCGTAAGAAGCTCATAGGACCAGGCCAGCCCAGTGCGAAGTTTAGCATGCTGAGCATAAAACGCTCTGCCTTGAGGACCTCCTCTTGGCTGTAGCCACCATCGACCATATAGACGATTTCTTGCACTGAGGGGCAGTTGATCTCTTCATACTTCGCGGCGAGCAGAAGAGCGGTAGCGCCGACTAGTTGGAGTTTTCCTATGGAGACAATCTTAACTGAGAGGAATCGATCGATGTAGTTGACGGCCAAAAAGAGCGTCTCTGGGAGAAGTCCAAAGCGGGTGTGGACCTGAATGACCCAGTCCATAAGAACGGCTCGCATGGACCACTTGATCTCAGTCTGGATATCCATGTAATGAGCCTTTGGCAGCAGATCGATCTGTGCACGGAAAAATTAGTACGGTTCTGTGTTACCCCGTTCATGCAGCTTGCTTACCTCGATTTCCTTCATGTAATTAAAAATCTCTTCTCCGTACTCAGTCACCATGCTAATATCCCATTCTTCTTCATCTGGAACGTCGCCAGTCTTTCTCTCCACGATCTCTTTTGCGGCAGCAATCTCCGCGGCACCCTTCTTGGTGAGCTTGGGGGGGACCATGACAGTGGTGACACCGGTTGTCGTGTTGTCCCGGCCCGAATGGGCTGTGGTGTAACCCTGGTCGTCATAGTAGTCCTCATCCTCATAGTCAGACACGTCGGCCGGGTGATGAGGCAGAAATGCGTTAGAGGCGAATCGATCGTCGTACTGATGGTACATACCGTCACCGGTAGTAGGTGGTAGACTGTCTTTCTCAGTGCTTAGAGCCGGAGAAACCCAATCGCGTGGGTCCGGATTCTTCAGTGAACCAATCTTAGCAGTCCAGGCCGCAGCCTCCGCCGTCTCTGTTTTTGGCAAGGAATGCATGTCTTGCGGAAGCTCTTCAACAGCGTCCAGGTAGAGGCCCTTAGTGGCCTCTTCCTCTACTCGACGAACGGCAGAAGGATTGACATTCTGTGAGGGTTTGGAATTCTCTAGACAAGATCCTTGCTGGCGGTTTTCTGGCAACGCTTTCTCTGACGCTCCGGGAACCCAATCTCTGGCCTGAACTTGAGGCTCAGTACTATATTTGATAGTGATGGAGGCTCGACTGGCCTTGTCTAGGGTGTGCTGCTGAGCATTGACATCCTTCTCAGGTTGATTGTCACTGAAGACCTTCAACTGCTGACCTCGCTTTTTGATAGGCTGCTGCTGCAATGACTGCTTTGAGAGGGGTGCAGGCTCATTGTCTGTAGGTCGGAGCTGGTTCATCGAAAGAGAGGGAACAAGGGACTTGGGGAGTCGTTGCGCGGGTCGTAGGAAGGCGTCCTTCGAAACATTGTGTGCTCGGTTCTCTTGATCTATGGCACCGGTATACTTCGCAACCGGCATTTCCGAGTTGGATTGTGCGGGTTTCGCTCGGGTGCCCAAGTCAATCTGATTATTGGGCTTGAGGGCGAGCTTGGAGAAGCCGCCTGTGGTAGGCATGGGGTTTGCTAAGTTGCTAGCGGACTTGTGGCGTTGGTGAACAGCCTTGTTAGCCATTGGCGCTAGATTCTCGTCGTTCCGGTTGCTTTGAGCATAGGCGAAACGTGAAGGCTGTTAAGAGTGAATCAAAAAGTTAGCGATAGTTGGGGAATTGCAATGTTTACAACACGCAATGGCTCTGACACGGAAGATCACCGAAAACAAGTTGAAATGTTGGGAATAGGCAATGCACATAGAGTCAAGCACAGGCATCAATCGTATGGTAGTTTGGTCACTAACAGGGACGACAGATTGTGGAGGTAGAAAGTGACCAAGGCATAGTGGAGACAGAAGGTGGGAAAAAAAGAGAGAACTTACCCTAGCATCCATGGTCTGCGATTTTGCGTAGGGATGATACCCTAATGGTGTGATCTCGAGACGCGACGAAAGGGGGAAGGTATAGAAAGATAAAGCTTCGGTCTAAGACCTCAGCCGAAAATAGTATTAGGGTGTACAGAGTGTACAAAATGTACAGAATGTACGAGGTGTACAGGGCGTACAGAATGTTTAGACGAGTATTGCCCAAGGGAAATCAAGTAAGTGATGGATACTTTAAAGCGTGTCCTAGGAAATCAATGCACATAGAGTGGAGTCCTCTAGCAAAACAATTAGTCTAACTCAGCTGAGCATCAACAATGAAGGTTGGTGGTTGGGGTCATGCAGTATTTGTTTTTTATTTGTTTTTGTTTTTTTTTTCAGCATGGGTTCAAGGTTGGATGGGGAGGATGGGGAGGATGAGAGCTGCAAGTAATTAAACTTGGTTGAGCTTTGCCTGGAGCTTAAGCTTATGCGCAGCTGTCAGGGAGCTGCCAAAGAGCTGTCAGGAAGCTGCAAGGAAGTTGCCAAGCTGCTAGGCAACACCTTGACAACTGCACATGAACTGACAATAGTGGGTTATCTGCTGCGCAAGCGCTGCGCGATAACTGCAACTTGCAAAGGGCCTGCACAAAAAGGAAAAAAAAAAAAAAACCAGAAAAAAAGAAAGAGGGTTGATGGGGTGCAGATCTTGTGGATACGTACCTAATTGTCCCAGTACTCGACTTTGATCCCAGGGACTAATATTTTTGGACCAAAGCTAAACCTTTTGATAGACCTTCCCAATGAATTACCAGGAGACCTCCAGAGGTTTATAATGGCCACCGTGTTCCCCCAATGCTGATAGAGCAAGGTAAATGGTTGTCGGTTATTAGTGGAGGGGTTAGTAAGTTCTTCACGTCGATCGAGCGAAAAACAATTAGACGGCCTTGAGGAATGTAGGTGAGTGGCACAAGATTCAGGGCGTTGTTGATGTCAAAGTGAGATTTGAAATTGGATAGGTGCGCAAAAGGAGGCTTAGTATCGGCATCTGCTCACAAAGTTCAATGCTGATCAATTGATAGGGAACCGAAGAACAGGATTGGGTACTGGCAACAGCTGTCGGCGACGCAATGTTGAACTAAAGAACGTCGTAGGTTGCTTGATAGGAAAAGTTCTTGAGTCCAGGTGCGCACAGGAAGAAGGCGTTGCAGCGGCAGCGTTGGAGTTGGTGGTAAAATTGAAGAAGAAGGGTAATTGATGAAGAGAAAAAAAAAAGGTGGAAGAGATGAAAAGGTCTGACGGCGACGAAGTAAATTTGCAAAAGAGGGGTTACCTCCGTGTTGAAAGTTCAGCGTCGTCACTGGTAAAAAAGATTAAAGATTGAAGACTGATTTGATTGTTGATGTTGACTTTCCAATTGCAGGTGACGACAGCCTAAAAAAAAGTTGTTGCTCTCCAGACGGCGTTGGAAGGTACGTACATACCAAAATAGGAAATTAGCATTAAGGTACGTACCGAAATACTACGGGAAGGTGTGGGGAAATAAATCAAAATAAACAAACCGCGAGGTGCATTAAGCCTATCATCCCTGTCGTAATTCCTGCCCGTTGCCCAGGTCAAATCGAGTCGGTCGCAACCTGTGAAACCAACCCAATGGCGTCCTGACAACCTGTGACTCAGCTTACTACGTACCTAACTTATCTAATCAGTCACCTATGGAATCTAGTGGACCTGCCTTACCTAACCTGTGGAGTGGAGGCACAGACGGCGTTAGGATGTTCCGACACTTACATGACTGGAAGGGCTCACACCCCACTTCCAAGAAACTTAAAGTGGTACTGGAGTACCTCCTACCTAAGAAAGACACTCAAGTCAATTTTACCAAACTATCAGTGGTCAATGCGCTCTTTTTCAAAGAGGAATGACGTATCATCTTGCATTATCGCGTCTTCCATCCCACTGGATTCATTCTGACTTTTGCGAAAATCCACGATAAGTTGCTAATCGCAAACTCACATCCTTTTCATTTTCCTTCTGAAAGCTTCTACGGACCATATTTTATGTTTTTACCATCATGCGAAAGAATATTTCCCTGAATCAGGCTTGCGCAGTGTCAAATTCAAATTTCGAGCTTGCGGCGCGGTCACTGTTAAAACGAGATCGCGATCTCGACTCGAAATCACGTGACGCATTAAAGGCTGTTCAGGATTGCCTTTTCCCAACAACAAGTCTTTCAGCTCTACAGCATCTACCGAGGGGCTGGCTCACTTCCAAACCTATCAGGAGTGTTGTATACGGTTATGCGACACAATCTTTGTGCACTTTGGAGCTGATTAGTGCCTTGGAGCTTATATTCAATCATATGCCTCCAGGTGGCGCAAATCGTCTGACTGGATGGAAACAAACTGGGGAACGATGACTTACCAACTTGCGATCTATTATGCGACTAACTTGGTAGCTTAATGCGATTCCATAGGGGACTCATAAGACTGTATAGAGATCAATTATACTTAAATAATTTGCGCAACTTTGGTTTCTATCTCTCCCTCTTCTGGTGCTTAGCCCCTTGACTGCGGCCTGGAACGAGTTGTCGGAATACGACAGTTCACATTCGGCCGTGGTTGGATCGCACCCCTCCCTTGAAGAGCCTTTCGGCCATGGTACTAGAAAAGCCGGGACCTGGAATTGTCGCCTACGTACTTCGCAGTATGTTAGACTATAATGGTACGCATGTCGAGTTGTCGTCCAAATAAATCCGATATGTAGTACGCCCTATAACATCCTGGCGATCATATATGGACCGAACATACGTCTAGTTATATATTGTATAAGTTGCCAGGTCTGGTCTGGACGACGTCTTACGTTGCCTCAATGATGCGACATGCATGCGCATCATGCCGCTTCCCTCAAACCATTGCATGAGCACGAGAGAACAGCCGCACAAAAATCGCATCTATTTTTCGATTGGATGGGAGTGACTACGAAGCCCTAATCACGTATAGAGATAGACAGAAATATATAGATAGCAATGTAAAAATAAAAAACTTTGAAGCGATAAAAGCAAAAGATAGGGGAATGCGGTTCGATGGAAAAAAAATTCATGATGACGAGACTATTGTTGCAAGGGTTGTAACAACGCACGGAAATACCGAAAGGCTAAGTTATACCTTGCAAGTTGTAAATAAGTGGTCAGCGCTTGGGGGGAAGAGAGGAGGGGTTTATTGGGTTTATTACACTGTACTGGAAACATAACATGATATCGTCCAATGGTGCCGTATTTCCCTTAATTAAGCTTGGAATTTATCTGATTGGGGAGACGAGAGAAATCCATATTATTATCGTGGCAACATGCGGAGGTTGGCAAGAAGAGAAGAAAAAAAAAAGCTTACTGGCTTTTTCTGCTTGGCTAATAAAAGGTAAGTTGTCGCTACGCTACATAACCTATCGCAGTCGATATGACGAACTCCGGCGCCGATCCCAAACTGGAGATTCTTTAATTCTTTTCCCCTTCTTTTCTACTGATCCCGCCCGTGTCCTGCCCTGGCGCACGCACCGACGGAATACCCCAGGATTCAGGATGAGTGGAAGTCGCCAGTTCAAAGATGGGGGGGGGGAAGACGGCAGATAGAGAGAAAATGAGAGGTCTCTCAGTAAGTGCGGTGTAGATCAAGAACAGACCGAACGAAAAGTAGACCACGATTCTGATAGGCTTGCATGCCCATTGGACGCTTGTGGTTCGATCTATCATAAGCGGTCAAGATAAAGAAGACGGGGGGCACTAACACAGCAAGCAGCCTAGGCTACCTGGTATCGTACATATCATCGTACATCTTGTACAATACATATTGTACCTTGGGTAGCTTAGCCCCAGCCTAGCAAGGCAAGGCAAGGCAAGACACGACACGACAGAGAAAGAGAGTGTATGTAGGTATGTTTAGTTAGATGTCAGAGATAGAAGTATGTATGTATGCGCCGCCTCGGAATCTTGCAATTCTTTCATATTTGAATACTAGGAAATGAGGGGAAAAGGGCTGCGAAGGACATTGACCTGAAACCCGAGATATGGCCCAGGGTCGCGACCCTGCGCTGTTCCCTCGTTTTATTGTTGTTTTGTTTGTTTGTTTTTCTCGAAAGAGAGTCCAACTCGAAATAGGCGAGCGAACGGTTTTGGAGAAGAGTACGGTTTAGAGTCGTGGATGTTTATTGTGTTATTAATGTACGACGTCCGCCAGCAGCCAACCAAGTCCAATTCTGGCGCGTGGAGAAACCAAGTTGTTGGGCGATCCCGCAAGTTGCGCCCAAAGGGTAGCCCGCGCTTTTTGGCTTGGCTTGCCGCAAGAACTTTCTCTCTCTCTCGCCCATCTTCCCGCGGCTTACCAGCTTGGTTGAAAGGATCTGGGCATGTCAGAAGCTGCTAGTATTCCCAGGGTCTGATTCGATCCAAGTGGATGAAACTCGTCGCCAGCGCATACCATCGTCGAACTCCAGTCTCCATTCTCCAGTCTCCAGTTCCAATACTTTGCTGCTATGTACGTGTAGTGTATATACTACGTGTATACCTACCTTTCCCTTTCCATGCGAATTAACGACAGGGTCTTTGCCTTTTCTGGCCCGGCATTCGGTATGTAGTGTGGATTCTATTCGTCCAACCCTCCAGAATCCACAGTGTGCCACTCGCTTCGATTTAGTCCTTTGGACGTCCTGAGTCCCGACAGCCCTGGGTATGTATTGTACAATACCAGAATGCAAGTGGCCATTGACAGCCTCTCTTTCTCTATCCTTAAACCGTTTAGATGCCCGTTAGATAGGGTAACTTCCACTACTATGTATATACTAGGTACTGATGCGCAAATCTCTACCGCCGAAACGCCGTGTCCATACCGAAGAAGTGGTTAAACATAGAACAGGCATGGGGCCGAATCCCATTTCCTTCTTTTCTCCCATCGGACGTAAAAGATAACAACCTTCCTAGCCGTCCATCGTCCATCAGGGCCCTCGGAAGTCTATTTTATATTTTTTTGATCTCGTTTCCCTTTTCTTTTTCCTTCTAGATACCGGTCATCTTTTAACCTAGTGAATTGCGAATTCTAGATGCAGCTTTTTCCGCTTTGCGCCCACTCACACTACTGCGTAGAGCGACCCTCAGGTATCCTCCATATGGGTCTGGGGACTACTCCGAGTGGTCATCGTGTCTATCTACTGCGTACGTACCCTACCAGTTTTGCTGGACCCTTATCCCTGCCCTCAGACAAACTGGCGCATCTAAGAAGCCACGCTATTGGCCGGCTAGGCTGTCAACTTGCCCGCTTTGCTCACCTCAACTCGCATACGACGAGTTTTCGTTTGCGACCACGAACAATAGCCACGGAGCCGATAGATCAGCTGGGCACCTGACAGCGATCGTTAGATAGCTTCATTTTTATTCCCACGAGTTGCGCTTTCGCGCGACATGATATAGGGGACGTAGATCAGTTTTGTATGGAATGCGCTCGAGGAGTTTTGATAGGTAAGCAGTGGGACTCGAAAATGATGCGCCAATGGCTCCTTTTTTTCTAAAAGCTCGAGCCTCAAAATGTGACGTCTACTCATCTTAGTGCGAAGGACGCTTTGAAAAACGGCGGCGCATAGCCCCTTAAGTAGCGTCTAACTTGAATCGCAAAGTACGGCGCAAAAGCGCATTATCGAGATATGGTAACCTTTGTAGCTGATGAGCTTCCCCTCTGGAACATGAAGGATCACATAATTGCGCCAGCTTGGGTGAGATATGCCCTATGCCTGTATACCTATGGTGTGTGTGTATGGTATGTCCCAATGTGTGAGTGCGCGCGCGCGTGTGCCTGGATCGAGAGAGAGAGGGAAAAGGCCGGGTGATTCCGCAACTCAAGTTACCTCTATGGAACTTCTTGGACAAGTTAGATGTATGTGTATACGTATGTATACCTAAGGTAATACCCGACCCTAACTGGACCTGTATATGTATCTTGATTTGTATCTTGATATGTATCTGACCTGCCGGAAGCGCGCAATATGGCTGGCTGTGCATCCACGGGATCTCGAGGCAGGTAATTCCTAGTTCGACGTCGCAATGCGCAAATTCAGGGACGTGTTTGCGTTCACCTTTTTTTTTCGCTGTTTCTCTCACTTAAATCAAGACTCTTAATAGTTAACACTTTAAGATTCTGAGACAAGGCGACTTGAGCAGATAGACTTGCTTCCTCCCCCCGCCTCCGTCCGCCTCCGCCCCCCTTGTAAGGTAATTAAGATGAGCAGGAGAGGTTAGGTAAAATACGATACCTGAATACTAGAGTCTAGATTAGTACTGGAAATAGCTTAGCATAGCTAACCTAAAGATACCTGTTAGGAAGAGAGAGAGAGAGAAAGTAGACCATTGAGAAAAGAGACAAAAGTCAAAAGTCAAAAGTCGCCTTCTTTCGCATTATTGTCCTAATGCAGCGCAACGCAGCGCATGGCCGGATTTGCCCTGCGGGTATCGAACAATATGTGGAAGTACATGTATGGTGTATCCTCACGTCCTTTACGCATCGCGGCGGGACGTGCGAGTCGCAAAAAACATAATACGTGACGCTCTAATGCATCCGGTGGACGGCATGTACCCAATAGCATATGTATGGGCCATGTGTACAATGCATCTAATGTTTTCCAATGTTTGCGACTCGATAAGAAGAGAGAGAGAGAGAGAGAGAGACCATATCCATACCTAACCTAGGTACCAATGATATACACACTTACATTGGATACGGTGGGATACTAGGTATGTATAATACATAGATAGATCCATGGATGACCTTGATATAAATGTGTACAACATGTAATATAATGTAAAAATATACATGTAAACCCGGTCTAGGTCCTAGTCTAACTGTCGACCTGATGGGGCGCCATTCTGTTGTCGAATAGACATACCATCCGAGTTTCTATTTTTTTCTTTCTCGAGCTAGGGGTATTAGATATTTCGAATAATTCATAGATAGCGATGACTTTTACGATTTTAATTCTTACCTTACTTTCCTTGGCATCTTAAGTAATGTAGGCATGTAATGTATGTTGTATGTTGTTGTATGTATGTATGTCAAGTTCCGTATTCTGGGCTACCTAAGTCGCATTCGTTGTCGATCTTGTAGGTAATTTTTATAAACGACGCACTTGACCAAGACCCGAGGAATGCTGGAAGTACTTACGTATGGTACAAGACTTCAAGTACCTCCCTAATACCCACATGCACCTTAGACAAAAGTCGACTTATATTTTTTTGTGAAATTCGCAAGAGAATCGACATATTTTTAAGTCGCATCGCAAAAAAGTGATATAAATTTAAATTGGGAATTTCGTGTCTCGATTTTAACTTTCACTATTTTTTAAGAATAAAAAGAGAATAAGAAATAAGATAAGGTTTCCTTACCTTTGGGATGGGACGGGGTAGGGGAGGGGACGGGTTGGTAGGTATTTTCCAATAAGTAGCCTGACCGTTAATTTTTTTATTGGTACCTTAGGTATTTTCTTAGGTTAGGTTTAGGTACTTTCCATGTATTTCTTCAGTGGCACGTTCTCGGTTTGGTGCATCACTAAACAGCCTACTAGCAGCCGGTAGCCAGGTACTTTAGTGGTGTGGTGCTGGTGTGCTGTTCAAGGCCTGGGCAGCCCGCGGTGTCCCAAAGTCCCAAAGTCGGGCAGGTACTTGTACCTAACTGCACCTAGGTATCTACGATACTGCACGCACCGAGACTGGATGTACTTTACATAGTACTTGAGTGGACGGCATGCGACTTTATGTGGGAAAGCCTTTTTTGGAGAACTCACGCTGCAAAACCTCATTCTCTTCTTCCACCTCCTCTTTCACACAACCCCGAATTCTCGACCAGCTTCTCATCTAACGCATCTCCATTTCTTCTGGTATGTTTTTTTTCACTTCCTCTCAATCCCCTCTATAGTCTACATACTCGTTCACACATACGAGACCATCCATAATTCCTCTGCTCTCCCTAACTGACTCCTTGGTGACATAGGTCGATCGGGGGTTATCCTGAATTTCAAGGTCGAGTTCATGCATCTCTAAGCGCACAACACCATCCATTCTTACTACCGGTAAGTTTTTCTAGCAATGGCATCTAACGCGATCACATATTCCATTCACTTTGACCCTTATCCCTCCGTTCTCCCCGTTCTAGCCCTTACCTCCTGTACATGATCCAGGTCGTACTCAGCCCGTCACTCCGCACCTTGAATCTGCCTTGGACAGAATAACAAGCATTACTACTTTCAAATGCTTTATATATAATTGCTACCAAACGCTTTTATAATATGACTAATTTGTATCAAGTTTTCCTACCAGAAAATACTCGTTTCGACAAAGCCGACTTTTCGTCCATTTCCTTGCGATCGGCCCTGACCGCTTCGCTCAAAATCCTCGACCACCACTACATTGTCACCACCACCGCTCAGAATCGTGCTCTGTTTAAAAAAGAGCGAGAGCTTTTATAAAGAATACCTGTTGGTGTTGGTGTTATTGATTCTGCGCTGCCAACAAAAATCACTCTACCCCCCCTTTCCCTCTACCCACCCACCTCCGAACGGTATTGAGCGCTTTTCGTCTCCTTGAGCTCTAGCCACAAGGAGCGGACGAAATCACACTCTATACGGAAGCGATTCGTGGTGTGAACAAAATGGCGTCTGCTTCACCCATTGAAACCTCCTCGTCCGGTTCTACCGGTTCCCACAGTAGAAGCTCCTCTCCTCGACAACCCGTAACCCCAAAACATGTCCAATTCGAACTCCTTTTCCCCGAATCCCCTCAATATCGCGCAAGACTTCCATTGCGCGTCCAAATCTACCCTCATGATGACACGGAGTCGATAATATCCACTGTGAAGAATTTCTATGGTCTCTACCATGGAGGGAAAGGCGTCTGTTTTGAAGACGACCGAGGCAATACCCTCATCGCGAGGTATGAGAACTTCAGCAACAATATGATAGTCTATGTCAGGGTCATTGAAGAGTCACCCCCACCGGCGGGAGCGTATGGTCCAAATGGTTATCAACCAGGGCCAATTGACTATACCGCCCAACAATTAGGGCACCATCTCTCGAGACCTGCGTCGAGGACTTCTCGTAAGCGCAGTCCATCTCCCAATAGAGGTCGCGGTAGGCGTAGCGCGTCTGCCAGCACTAACCCTACGGCTGGAAAGAAGGGTCGCTCGCGCTCTACAAAAAATCGTAGCGCAAATTATGATAATCGCAGCGATAGCATCAACGGATATGATAGCGGGGATGGCGCTCCCGCGTCTGTATCTAGCAAGGCGAAGGAACAGATTGGAAACACTGATATTAGCGTTGAGAATATCGTGGAAGGCGGTCGCCGAAAGCGCGCTAAATTTGAGAGTTCGGTAAGTCTATTCAAATTCCTAGTATATTCAAGGAAATACTTGCCTAACCGAACCGGAATCGCAGGAGCTACCGCTCTTCGCGCCACCTCAGATGCCTGCTGCTACATCCAACCCATCTGTGTCTCCTGTTCGCCGCGTTGAGCACCAACGACCGACCTTTCCATTTGCGCACCCCGGACAAAACGCCTTCACAAATGCTCGTGCCCTCCAATCCCCGCAGAGTTATAATAGTGGATATGGTCAAGCTGGCATGTTCGCGACACCGATGAACGACTCGCGACGTCATCGCAACAGCGGTAGCATTAGCTACCCAGGAACTGGCAACAATATCTTGCCCACACCTGACCCGACTATTGGAAGCTGCGTGTCAGAGGAGGATAAGGATGTTGCAATCCAACTCATGAGGCTGGGCGAAATGTCTAATATTTCCCACGGGCGAACATCCGCATCGACGTTGGATGATACTTTTAGCGGCAGGGCTGAAATTGCTTCGTCAACTGGTGCTACAAGTGACGCCGACAGCGAAAGCGAAAATGAGCTGCCGCCGTCACGTCGCCAGAAGCTTGACTTAGCTGGAACCAATCGCAAGGTCTACCAAACGACGCAAAGCCTTTTCATGCCCTCGTGCGACAGTGTTGATGCTAGTGGCGATGACGCTGACTACGAGGATGGCATTGAAGATGGCTCTCTGAGCGGACCTAAGCCGAGCGACTTGAAACTCAAGACTCAGCAACCCGGAAAGCCCCAAGCACCAGTCGCAAAGACTACTAAGGCTAGAGCTCCTAAGGTACCTAAAGCCGCCAAGGCGAAGAAGACCAATGTTGCTGCTGGTCTTGTTGGCCCCATGTCGCCCGCATCTCTACCAAATCAGTCGCGCAAGCCTTCTATCGCCTCCACTACATTGGCCCCGGGACAGTCAGGCGAGGATGATCAGCCTGACCTCTCTACTAAGCCGCGCTGCCAGCGATGCCGCAAGAGCAAAAAGGGCTGCGATAGGCAGCGACCCTGTGGCCGGTGCCGTGATGCTGGCCTTAGCGCCGACCAATGCATTAGCGAAGACGAGGGAAATGGTCGAAAGGGTCGTTATGGCCGTCACATGGGAGTTCCCATCAAGACGACCGATATCTCAGGCCCCCCTACTCTCTTACCTGCTCCTGTTGCAACTCCCGCGGTGCCGGGTGACAAAAACAAGAAGCGAAAGCGGTAGGTCACCTGATCTATTGATCTGTTGACCATGCGCCATAATACATTTGATACTCGATAATGTGTATCACGTGAGGTAGAAAACTTGCAAAGTCTACTGAGGTGCTGCCTTTTATTTCTCGACTGTATCTACCTTGAGTGCCGAGAACCGTATCCGTCAGCTTCGGTCACAAAACATGATTACTGACAGGATATTACCTGTATGCCCAGCACCACATTGCCCTAATCTATAGCATAGCTGTGGTCTCGGCATTTACGCTAGTTTGAAACTACGCGATATCTCAGGAAGGGGGGGAGGCGGATTATGGAATGGGGAATGTGGTTACTCTTCATCGGAGTTTTTTATTCCTATGGGGATTGGAAGAGGCGTAGAGGAAAACAGGTATTAATTATGGGCCTCGCGGCCGTTACACTCCTTTTCATCGAATATGGAACGCTAGGTACAATCATCTCGCGGAAGGGTTATTGGCGTTGGATTGTGCTTGCCTCGTCGGTTCATCATTCGCAACGTCACCAACCCTTAGCTTCGAGATAGTATGCTGAGTCTTTGACTCGAAAACTAAGAAAATTAAGCTTTGGAAAACAAAAAGTAATCCAGGTGCGTTTCAGAAAGGAGAAGATGGAACGGCAACAAGGAGAACAAAAAAAACCGGTGTGTTAAAGGAGTCCGCTGCTCGAGGGCCGGGGATGAAAGGCATATTATGCCTTACTGGCAGCGGATCACAGGGCGTACGAAAGGCCGGACTTGGTAGCCGTACGGGGTGGCGGGAAATTGTGTTTTCAACGGGAGTTATCCCATCCATCCTGCTTCTCTTATACTTTGTTTGTTTTTGACGGTCCATACTTTTTTTTTTTTTTGTGAAGCTTTTCGCATTGTGTGTTCTCTTTTCCTTATCCGTTCTCCATCGCTAGCTAGCGGCAATGAATGTTAAATATCATGAAAACTCTAGCAACAAATACAAATGATGCTTATAACTATAAGATGGTATATGTATATGTATGTGTATGTGCACGCGTATATGTGGGAACGCATCTATAAAGTAGTTGATAGACATTGATCGTTGTAGAAGTCTGGGCGGATGTGCGCATTATATAAGGTATGTATGTACCTAGACCTTAGGCATCTAGGTACACTAAGTACGTAAGTAAGTACCTTATTAGGTAGTATACCACGGTGGCACGGTGTACTTAATACCAAGGAAAGGTATATTAGGTATCAACCAAGCTATTAAATCAATAACTAAGCCACAGGAGATATTAATCTTCAGACAATCGGGCATCATCCCATAAAACATACTAACTTACTAATTTAATTTTTCTAATTTTTTTTTTTTTCCATGGACCTCATCTGGGACATATTCGTGGCTCGCATTGATGTCAAAAGGAGAAGTCGGACGGGGCTCAAACCTAAACTAAAGCGGCGTCGTTTTGGACCTAAAATAAGAAGCTAAAAGATGAAACCCAAGCTTCTCATTGGTTATAAGTTCGGCAGTTACCGCCAGTCAAAATAAATCCCGGGGTTCGTGTGACGTTGAGTTAAACTAGATCGGTGGATGACTATTCTCTTTATGGAATAGCTTGGCAATCCCCTGGCAGCTAACCACCTTGGCACTAGATCACAAATAATGTGGCTTGGATCAACTTTCGTCTCTAGCGTTTTTATTGTTTTCTTCCTTCACACAAATCCTTCACCGTCGCCCACTTCGAAGCTGATTTCGAAGCCAAAGTCATTCCCCACTCATCTTTTCTCCTCTTTGCCTCGTGTCTTTAAGGGGATGGCACTGTCGCGATACCAAGCTCGTGTACCTTTGGGTACGGTAAGGAAGGGAAGGAGATAAAAAAAAGTTTTTCCCGGGAATTGATGCCCAGCCCACGGGCCCATAGTCGAAAAGCTCCAACTGAGGATCCTACCGAAGCCTTATCGAGATGACAATGTGGACTAGAAGAAGCCTAGATTCCTTCTTCACCGTTGTTCTGCTCCAGTCGGTGCACTTTCGGTAATGAGCTACCAAGCTCTAGACGCCTAAATAAACATCTCGTGATATTGTGCAATGTGTTGCAATGCGCATTTGCTCTTCATCACGTTGGAGAAAAAAAAACAAAAAAAAAAAAAAAAAACTAGAACTTCCCCGAACTTCCCGTGGCAGCGCGCAAGCTTCCGGTTCGCTGCTATGCGTCAGAGGATATACCAACGTTCACGATGGGCGTGGACCCGTACCTTCGGGGGAGAAAGGCATAACTTGCGCTGGCGCTGCGCTCGGATGGGCGGCCAGACCGTCTCTCCTAACGCGCTTTACTCCACATGGAAATTCCATGACAAGCCCACGCAGCCGTTAACGGACGTTGGGCTTCCGGCCCCTTGGCTCCCTGCAATATCGTGGCCACATCGTGAGATTTTGCTAAGGTAATATGTTTCGTTGGGCTTTCGCGTGCTTGGATATTTTTGGGAGGGTTCCGGTAGGGTTCTGGTAAAGTATATGAAGGCCCGCATCATGAACCTCATCATCATGATTATCATTCCTGTCAGCTTCCACTCAGTTTAGCAATATATCAAGCTTCTTTGGCATCTCAACCAGCCGCAAAAACTATCTTACATCTCTTTTTTGCCTATCATGGTCTCCACCCAAATCAAGGAGACGAATCATGCGGTAGCCGTTGTTTCTCTGGGAAACAGCCAGGTATCGCTCGGTCATCCCGATGAGAGCGTTACGCCAAAGCCTAACATTGAGGATGAAGTCGAATACCCGGACGGTGGCTCTGCCTGGCTCCAGGTATTAGCTTGTCATCTCATCAACGCCATGGCCTGCGGCTACGGTGCAGCTTTTGGAATATATCAGCTTTACTACACCGAAACACTTAAGCTCCCTGCCTCGCAAATCTCGTGGATCGGGTCCATCCAGATCTTCATCAACAACTTGGTCTGCACAGTAGCCGGACGGCTAGCGGACGCGGGATATGCACGGGAGACGGTTCTCGGCGGCTCTTTCATCGCCCTGTTGGGCACTTTCATGAGTAGTCTCGCCACCCAATACTGGCAGATTTTTCTCTCCCAGGGAGTCTGCACGGGCCTAGGTTTGGGTCTGATGTACATGCCTACCGTCACCGTTGTGACGTCGTACTTCAAGAAGAGGCGCGCGCTCGCTCTAGCACTTTCTACTGCTGGTACCGGAACAGGGAGCATCATTTTTCCCGCGACAGTACAGTACCTGATACCCCAGATCGGCTTTGCCTGGGCCGTCCGGTGCGCAGGATTCGTCGCGCTGACCATCGTCATTATCGTGAACGTGCTTCTCAAGCCACGTCAGCTCCCCAAGAAAACCGGACCTATGGTGGATTGGCTTGCCTTCAAAGAGCCCCCCTACGTGATTTTCGTTGCGGGAACCTTTTTTGTCTACTGGGCCTTGTATTTTGGTTATTTCTACGTAAGTAATATCGACTCTTGATACTGCCTATAAACCACATGGTTATGGGTTAGGGTTCGCGCCCGATGACACAGATTTGCTAACACCTATATAAACAGATCAACACGTACGCTATTACAGTCGCCTCCTTTACACCTACGTCTGCCGTATCGCTGCTTCTTATCATGAACGCGGTCGGTGTACCAACCCGTCCGGTCATCGGTTACATCGCCGACACCTATCTGGGCCCAATCAACGCCTTCATCCTGTCGACGCTCAGCCTCGCCGTCGCGTTCTTCGCGTGGATCACCATCAACACGCCGTCCACGATGTATGGGTTCGCCATCGTCTTCGGCGTCACGAACTCGGCGGCGCAAGCGGCCTTCGCCAGCGGCCTGGCCAGCCTGACCAGCAACCCCGTGAAGATGGGCACCCGGTTCGGCATGTGCTGCACGATACTAGCGTTGGCGACCGTCGCGGGACCCCCGACCGCGGGAGCCATCATCGACTACTGCGGCGGCCAATACCTCTGGGCCCAGGTCTGGGCCGGCCTCGTGTCCGTCCTCGGGGCGGCTACGTTGTCCGTCGCTAGGTATAAGGTCTCGGGCGCGAAGCTCATGGTTATGGTATAGACTGACACCAATACTAATGCTAATGCTAATGAATGCAGTCGAGCGACACTGTTATGACTCTGTCGCCTGCCGAGTGTGTGGGGGGGGGGGGGGGGAAGAAAAAAAGTAATGGGATAGACGGGTACGGCATGGCATGGCATGTATGAGAATTCTGTTTGTATTCCTCATGCCATGTCCCTGCTATAAGAGTAGACTCTACTACTAGTAGTACTACTACATGGTAATGCATAGATCAAGGGGGTGTGTGTGTGTGTTTTTGGGCACTTCTCGGTATTCGGCTTCGGCGGGAATAGCGCGGCGAAGAGGGAGAGAAAAAAATATATTATATTTGGTCTTTTAAAACAAAAAGAAAGGATGGGATGGGAAAATGGGCTTTGATTAAGGAGATTTTGGGTAACGAATTATGACCTTTCCTTTTTTTTTCGCAGCGTTTTGGTACGGAGCCAGAAAAAGAAAAGAAAAGAAAAGAAAGAAAGAAAATGTATCTAATATATAATATCTTACCGCCGATACCTAGGTATCTATCTGTATCGCTTTTCATGACTGAGACGTGTATATGCTTATGTTCTGTGTACCTCTAGCTGGCTACGAGACGATTTTGGATTTGGTGTTTACTTGTATGCACGCAGCAGGCTTGGATTAGAACAACATGTAAGTACGCTCTAACTCAATAGAATAGGTACCTACAGTACCTCATGAGATCTTCTTCATATGTGGGTGGTGGCAAGGTAACAACGTGATAAGAATTGGGCTTCTATTGGCTTCGTTATATCGTAATCTAAAATCCGAAGACTTTGGGATCGGTGCGGTTTCGCAATCTGCTGTATGGAAGTTCGTCAATGGTATTACCTATTATTTACGTACAATACATATTACAAGCAGACGATGGCTTGGTTGAATAAGTCCCCGCCCTCCCTCGTTTTCCTCGTATTGCCCCTTTAACGTATCCCGTGACATATACATATATGTCCCGTGATAGGGATAGAATAATAACTAACAGCAACAACTCCATGTTATACATATGACATTTATAAGCTACCTACCTAGTCCTACCTAATATATAACGGCGCAATATATACGATATACCCCCGAGGGCGCGACGGATCTAGATAAGGGCCGGTCTCACGAGAGAGGCCTTTATGTAACCGGCATCTCTCTCCTGTGCATTCGGCCGGCAGCACGGCATCATGTTACCTAGTTACCTACCTACCTTACTTATTACCTGCTAAGTACGTTCATGTATGTCGCATTAAGAGGCGCGTCGGAAAAAAAGGCTGATGCATCTCATCCAACTTTCAAATACTTACCTCCTAGGTAGGTAGGTACCCGACATTGGTGGTATTTTGCTGCTGTTGCTAAAGTTTACGTCATACCGTCAAGGTAGCAGTAGAGAGGTAGGTATTAATCACATCCATTGACCCGAATTGAATGACACTTGCGCAGATAGTACGTACGTATCTTCTATCGCGATATTAAGAATTCAATGTTGCTATAGTATAGTTATACTATAGTTATACGTAGGTAGGTAGTATTACTACGGGATCAGCAGCTACTAGTATAAGCTTGTTACACGGATGGATAACTTACAAATGATAGTCGATACATAACCTTTATGCCTTTAGCAACCCCACAAACGACACACATAACATGGTAAACCTAATTCGATGAGCTCATTGGATCCCCGGCTTTTACCTGAAAGCAGCTACCAGAGCTACGTATCGCTGTGGCTTGCTGACATAGCATAGCGTCTGAATGTACCCACACGCATGCACTTAATCTAACCCTGATAAGGTAAGGTCTCACCCTAAATGGGGTGTGTATCCATGTAAAGATTTCCTATCAGAGGAAAAGAATGGGACACTAAGACAGGTGGGGGTCCTGGGTGGGGTCTTATCTTCCCCAAACTTGTTCACCTCCGGAAGTTTTCCATTTGTGCTTCCATCAATCATCAATCTTTTTTTGCTATGTAATAACAACCTTACACTTACACTTACACTAACGAAACCCCTCTTTCGAAGAGACTCCCTCATTAGAGGTAGTCAGACCGCTTAGCAATATAACGAGTTCGCCATCATTGCTTTTGAGGGGTTACTACCACCACCATTAATTATTATTATGCCCGCCACCCATTTATCAACCCTGCTTACAGCCTGTATGTAGTGAGATATTTGTGTTAAAAGCTACTGCATCCGTGCCGCTCACGGGCATGGTAGTATCTGACAATCAATAAATATGGGGATTGGACCGTGCTGCTTGACAGCGAACAAGTATACGCCAAAAACTCTTGGGCAACAGTGCCATAGAAAGTCACCCTTCCCAGCCACGATGTTCTAGCCTACATGGCATGAAAGTGCCAACCGGGGAACATGCCTCGACACCACACCGTATGTGTCGGTAGTACTTCTACCTCCGGCACTCAGCCGCAGCTGGGCGGTCGATAGCCTATCGACTAGGCGGGCTAGGTATTAGGACAGAAAGTTGTTCGCCGAGACGACTACCGACGATTCGTATAGTTGAAACTGGTTTTGAAGAACACCATGTCTTCTGCCGAAGATTTGCGGAGTACCTACATAGTAAGATCTGTGGAAGGGGTGGAAGGGGGGGAGAAGCCAGGGCCAAGACTGGTTAGGACCAACCATTTCGCGGGGTTAGCGTCCCGTCAGCGGTCCAAGGCGTCGACAACCCCCCAAGGACCCCGTTCCTTCTTGCCAAGTAGAGTTGAATATCCGTCTAGGCGAGGCCGGGGTCTTTAATAACGACTCAATCAAATCCTGTCGCTGATTTGCCGAAACTGCATATCCAGGTCTGGACCCTCTTTCTTGTCCTCCAGGTCATTGGGAAGCAGAAGCACCCCCAGCACGAATGTATGTTACGTACCTCCCAGGTAGGTAGGTAGGTAGGTAGGCAGGCAGGCAGGCAGGTAGGTATGGATGGATGGGCGACAGGATTTGTTCGGATTTAGGTCCTAACAAGAATCCATTATAAACAAGTTTGGAAGCCCAAGAGCCTGCTTGCCCTTATATTATCTGCGCTTTAGCCGTCATACCTGCGTTTTTCCTTGACCGATTTTGCTTGACTGCCCCATACAGTCAGTCAGTCACCATGACAGCGATACGGACCACAGACGAGAAGAGCGATATCGACCAGCCCGACGCGCTCGCTCTTGAGACTAAGAGTGAAGGTTCCTCGGAGGCACTCGGCTGGACCGCAGAAGAAGAAACTGCCGTTCGCAGAAAATTAGATTGGCAATTGGTGCCGACCGTCACTATCCTATATCTCCTCTGCTTCCTCGATCGGTACGGTTGTTCCTAGATTTGCTAGTCCCCTGGTCGATGCTAATGTAACGGAATAGGATAAATATAGGAAATGCGCGTATTCAAGGAATGCAAGAAGATCTGAACCTTGTCGGATACCGATTCAACATCGCGACAAGCATTTTCTATATCGTCTATTTGACGGTGGAGGTGCCGTCTAACATCATACTCAAGCGTGTCGGTCCCCGATTCTATCTTCCCGGACTAGTTGTTGGGTTCGGCGCCGTATCTGTAGGGACGGCCTTCGTAAAGAGTTACGAGCAGCTATGCGCCGTTCGTGCGTTGTTGGGGATCTTCGAGGGCGGGACCATGCCTGGTTTGGCATTCTTCCTCAGTTCCTTCTATAAGAGAGAAGAACTCTATTTTAGAGTTGGCATTTACGTCTCGGCCGCTTCGCTTGCTGGCGCATTCGGTGGATTGTTGGCCGCAGGATTCTCGCAGATCCCGGATTGGGGTATCGCAAGCTCGAGGTTGCACACCTGGCGCAACATCTTCTTCTTCGAGGGCATCATCACCATAGTCTTTGCCGCATTGGCCCCCATCATCTTGCCGCAGAGTCCCGAGACGTCGAAGTTCCTCACGGACCGCGAGAAGTGGATCGCCGCCGAAAGACTTCGCCTCGAGCACAAGGCCAATCCGAACGAAAAGGTGCAGTCGCGCCACGTCAAGCGCGCGCTGCTAAATATCAACAATTACATCTGCGCGGCCGGTTTCTTCACTATCAACATCACCGTCCAGGGCCTCTCCGTCTTCATGCCTACGCTTCTCCGAGAGTTGGGATGGCAGTCGCTGACGGCGCAGTACTACACCGTTCCCGTGTACGTTGCCGCCTCGCTCATTGCGATCGCCATCGGCTTCGTCAGCGACAAGACGAGGATGCGCGGCATCTACCTAGCCCTGTTCACGTTCCTCGGGATCACGGGCTTCGCGATGCTCCGGTGGGGCTCGGGCAACCACGTCAAGTACGGCGCCGTGTACCTCTGCGCCATCGGCGCGTTCCCCGGCGGACCCGGGTTCCTGTCCTGGGGCCTCAACAACGCGGCGGGTCCTGCGGTGCGCGCCGTCTCCAGCAGCTGGATCGTGACGCTGGGGACGATGGGCGGCATCCTGGCCGTCTGGGCGTACCTGCCGAACGACGGGCCGTCGTTCCCCATCGGCCACACGATCAACCTCGCGGCGCAGATCTTCGTGCTGTTCCTCTCGCTCGGCGGCATCGCCTACTGCCTGTGGGAGAACCGCGTGCGGGCCCGCGGGGGCCGGAACGCTAGGCTCGAGGGCTTAACGGAGGAGGAGAAGGCCGATCTGGGGTACAGACATCCTGATTTCAGATATATCGCGTGATTTACATACGTACCTGTACCTAGGTAGGTAGCTTACCTTAGGTACGATTCTTGGAGCGCTTTTTTGAATATACGTATGGCGCGCATTTGGGAAATTACAGTACCTGCCTAGGTATCTACCTAGGTAGGTAGGTACCTACTTAACTAAGGAAGGGAGGGTACTTAGAGAACCCCGTGACGATGGGGACTGACTTCGACGGGAAACGGGGTCCCGTTGTAGAATCATACATACCAGGTGGGTGAGGCAGCTACTTGGAATAGACGACGCGTATGGGGCGTAACTTGACGTGACGCGAACAAATATACATACCTGGGTAACCATACCCTAGCTTACCTACCTTGGTGTTTTAACACGCGCAACATGATGCGGCTTTTTGGTAGTAGTCGCGATATTATTTTATTAACGTGGTTTCACTCTTTCGTCGTAGAGGATTCAGCGCGATTCGATGGTAGAGCGAATTGGTCAGCTCGCGCAACAAGACACCATCTCTCTCTCTCCATATTCTTTCTTCTCTGTGCCTCTTCCTTAGGTAGGTAGAGCGTGTTTCCGGAACAGGACGCGCGGAAGATCGACGTTCCGGCGCATATGTAGGTAATATGCATATACATGCCTAGAACATACATAGGAGGTAGGTAGGAGGTAGGTATATAGTAGGGAGGGTGTGTAAGTACCTAAGTGCGCCACCGATGCGTTTATCGCGCCTAATTGGGGACTTAATATCGGCGGCGCCTAATGCGTACCTAACCTAAGGTATATTACGTCCGAGAGGTATGGGTCTGCGGACCAGTGGGTGATGGGTACTTATTTATTTTTTTATAGTGGAATTGCTCTGGTTGGGGATATGGGATTAGGCGTCGGTTGAAAAGGTTAGGTAGGTACCCAAGGTAGGTTGCCTTATATACAAGAGGAGACTGGGTGGTGTGTTGGGAGGATATGGGAGCTCTGGGGAGGTGGTGACGCTTGCGTTGTTTTTTTTTTCTCGTCTTAGTATACTATAGTAAAGCATGTCATACCTAGGTACTTATTTCTTGCCTTCCTAGGATATCAAGTGGGTGGAAATACAATACCTATAGCTTTTTCCAGAGATAAGGTATGTATACTGACGTGCTATGCCATGGCAGTATAACTGTCTGATGTACTTCATCTGAGAAGACTGATCCCTCTGTTGCTCTACGATGGTGAATATTGGCCAATTCTTTGTCCTTTTATCTAGTTCAGTTCACGATAGGTGCTAAGACTTGGAAAATATACTGCTACAAATAGGATGTACACCTAAAATAAACATATACCGTAAGACGTAGAATCATGATGTGCTCCAATTAGCAAGCGCACTGGAATAGGGGCGGGAAGAAGATTTGTAAGACCGTTTTCTAATGTGATCATGTCTCCTGCAGCACCTAGTTACTTCCTAAGATATTATGCGATTCAAAGCTTAGCTGGAACGACACTTCTGTATCGTACTCGCTGCACATAAGGGCTGAATAGAACCATCAAGTGAGTGAACAGGCAAGCAATAAATGTAGTCTTTATGAATGTCGTAGAGAACTAGTTGGCTTATAGAGCTCCGAATGCTGACAAGCGGAACTGGCTGTTACCAACGTTTCTCAAGTTCACCTCCGCAATAACATATCATACTAGATCTGCGACTATGAAACGGGCTCGAAAGAAAACTATAAAGGCACTGAGATAGTGGTCTGAGGGATGGTGGGTATAACATAGGGGAGTAGAGGTTAAACCGCATGTAGCCTATTCATTTACCTCACTGGCAGGGCGTTACTCTTACTCAACTGTAGCTCATACCAGGTACTAGGTTAATTAAATACCTCAGAACAGCTTGTTGTCTCCCATCCTGCTTATTCAAGCTACGGTTAGCCCCCAAACCACCACCTCTTCACGCCCCATCCCTCTCCCTGAGTATCTCCAGCGTCCTCAACACCGTCCTCGCAACGCCCCTCCCATCCCGCCAGGCGTCATCATGCAGCCCCCTCAGATCCTTCACGAGCAGAACCTCCACGCCGTCCTTCTCCAGCCGCTCAGCCATGCCGACCGTCTCCGGCATGTCCACCAGCTCGTCGTCCACCGAGTGCCCCAGCACCGCCAGCCCACCCGCGAACCGCTCCTTGTAGCTCCCCGCGTACCTCATCGGCGCCGCCCCGTCCCACGCCCCCCGCGGCCCGAACGCCCCCTCTAGAAACCCCGCGTACCCCCCGCCGAAGCGCGCGTCTAGGCCCTGCATGTCGTAGATCCCTTCGACGCCGAACACGGCGGCGGGTAGTTCCACCGCCACCAGGTCGTCTTCTTTAACCCCGGTCGTGCTGGTGCTGGTGGTAATCGTAGTGGTGGAACTGGACATACCAGCGACCAGCTGATACGCAAGACACGCGCCAGCCGAGTGCCCGACAAGCACGTACCTCCGGCCGAACGCGTACCGGCGCTGCAGGAACGCCAGCGCGGCCCGCACGTCGGCCAGGTGCTCCGGGTGCCGCGCGCCGCGGAAGCGCTCCGGCGGCGTGGTCGCCGGGTCCTGCGGGAACTCCGGGTGCGGGCTCAGGCGGTAATCGAGGGATGCGAAGGCCGCGACGGGGAGATTGCTGCCGCGACCGCTACCGCTGCGGGGAGATTCGTCGCTGTTGCCCTCGAGAAACCGCGTGATCACCGGCGCAAAGGTCTCGTGCGCGATGCGCGGGTCCCGCCATGCGCCGCCGTGGATGTATCTACCTTGCGGGGAAGAGAGAAACGGTGGGCGTTAGTTTTTTTTGGATGGATATAATTGGTACCTAACCTAACCTAACCTAGCTTTAACTAGGTCTAGGTACCTACCTAGGTAAGAGAAGGGGGTATGTATGAGGTATGCAAAGGTGAGATTTACATGATCCAATATTTCGTCTCCGTCTTATCGGCGATGTCAAGATCCCAAACGCCTACCCGTTGGAGCTCGTGCGCGCCGTACCGGTGGACGGTGTAGTCGAGCGACGACGCCATGAGTGACCGAGCGACTGAGTGAGTGGCTGATGAGTGGCCCTAGTACCAGAGAGCATTGATGTTGAGATTATGACGCATGAGGGAGAATGCCCGTGTTTCCATCTCAATGCGCATGCTCTTAGTACATATCGGTCTTTTAAGTGCATATTACCTTGCTAAAGTTTAGTATTATTTCCAACCATACTGCTTTAATTACCTCTGTATCCAGTATACTTTAGGTACTTTTACTTGTCTTTTTGCGAGTTTAATTTCGGATTTCTTAACCTTCCCCCCCTTTTTTTTATCTCTTCGTGCTAGATACTACTAATTTGTGGAGTTCTCTGCTACCTAGAGTAAGGGACAAAACAAGATGCTGTGTTGTTCTAATTCGTACGTACGTACGTAAATGCCGCCGTGATGTTACTATTCGAAACTGCAGCATTTGCTTTTCTATTCGCCAATTGCTCGAAGCGACATGCTGTGAAACTGTCGCTGAAAGAGTCCGATGGCAGGTTGCATTTTCTTTCTCTTCTTTTTTGTTTTTATGCAACAATCTGGTGGCTATATGATTGGATGTGATCGGATGGTATACCTAATTGGATGGCAAGTTCATGGACTGAGGTCCAACACGAATGACTCGTCACTTTTGGCTTAGCTACTTGGTCTAAACTGTCCGCGTCTGCTAGCCAATTATACGCGAGCGACGGTTTTTCTTAGGGGTAAGTGCTACTGTCGCGGAGGCCGATCTGATGTGAATGTTGGTCCGGAGAATAACAGTAGAACCGATATCTTGGATAGAGGTTACCTATCGGCTCATCATGCGCCCTTTGCTCCTCGCTATCTGAGCTAGCTTATGATGTGTTGCAACGCGCATTTCGGACAAATACAACTCGAGAGCGGACCTTATTCCCGAATGATCTTCTTCCATCGACGGGCCGAAATATGAGGTATATAGATATTGAAAGCCGACTCGTCGAGACCTCGGACGAATTAGCTAAGAATGGAAGGCTTTTATATTCTCAAGGGATGACACCAACGTCTAAGGGCCTAGAAAGTCTAGTTATTTACCAATGCAACATAATATCGAAATGCGATCTCGCTAGGTAAAGCAACTAACAACTCGAGAGCTAAAGTGGCTTGCAATATTTGCGATTCCATCGTGGCCTATTTGCTTCATGAATTCCAAGTTTACGGCGCAGACTACTCAAGGTAGACTAGTTGTTACCGGCAAAGCTCGTTGGTGGACCGTGTACCCGAGCCCAGACTCCGACCCTTTCGAACCTCGATGGGGTGATGAATCATCCGATTCGTCAGATTGGTTATGGACTTCTTCCAGGGAGACGTTCGCTGGTATTTCGCTGGCATTTAACGAGCACCTTTAACGCATTCGAAATGTTGTTGTTCGAAGACTCCGAGGATTTCTCTTCTCGCCTAGTCACGATCCGGACATCCATACCCTAAACAAGGCTGAGAGTTGTGAAACATGCGGGGTATGTGATAGGGACTGATGTCGTGGCTTAGGGTTCCAAGATGTAGGATAACGTGGTAGATACCTTCATCAAATCCATCAGACCCATCGTATCCAGCACACTGACACTCCTCAATTGAGAGCCACGCATAGCTGACCTCGGTACTCGCGTATTTCTTCATAATATATAGTATTTTTTCTTTCTCCTGTTGATCTGCATAACCGAAGCGACTGAAGCGAAGAACTCGCAGAAATAAGGTGAATTAGAATACCCATTTCCAATCCCGGATCATGAGGTGCCGGACTGCGAAAAATTGAAGTCAGTCAGGGGTTGGAAAACAACCCGAATACCCACGTCCAACGCATGTAAGCGATGCAAATGCATGCAAATGTCCCTGGCTAATAAGAATACTATGTTACCATGTGCGTATTATGTACCTACCTAGTATTGTACTTTGGTTTTGCTCATGTTACGATAATAGTCCCCGAGCTCAGCAGATAAAGCTGCAGTGTGAATTGCAAGTTTTCCGTTTCACAATAGCAAACCTCATCAGTTCTAGGCTTTTCTAGCTTCCTTATTTGACGTTCCTCCCGAGGCGTTCCGGCTCGTTGGGTCTGGTTCTGATAGCGTAAACGCTTACGAATCTTAAGATGCCTTTTTTTTTCTTTCTCTCTCATTAAAGTCTTTCGCCTTTTTCGCATAAGTGGCTTGGGTTATGCATGCATGCATGTAATCCGTTAGGTACGGCTTCTCTTACTAGGTCATAAGGTGACTGGTTACTGTCTCATACAATTCAGAGAATTTGTGTTGCATTCAGTCCGCGCAAGTCGTATGTCCATGACAGGTACATAGTATGCAGGCGCACCGTCCAGGCGCACGTCAAAGCACCGGATCCGCAATGCTCGAGTACTTGGCCCTGTTGATACACCTGCATGGGCCTCCTTGTCTTCGAGTCCATTATTACAAGGCTCCGTATAGTCTATAACAAGGAGTTTGAGGCTCGTAGTCCCTAGGTATGTACCTAACTTAGTCCCAGCATCTTTTCTCAGCTGCAGTCGGAGTCTCGTACCGTTACATTAGCTTCGGCTCTCACCCGCGGTAGCACCGGCCGTCTGATGATCCAAGGGGCCTTCAAAGTCCGCCCACAACCCAGCCTTACACCCAGTTATACCCAGTCGCATTGCCATAATAGGTAATTCGCCATGATGACGGCCGACGCTGCTTCAGTGCTTCCAGTCTGTTCAGTGCTGTTTCCCCCCAGGGGTTCTTTATGACATGACCAGCATGCTTTCTCTCCACGACAGGGCCACGACAGGGCTACCCAGAGATGATATACAGTACTGCATTATTTGGACTTTCAGTATGTAACTCACGTTGGGTAGCTGGGCAGGTATAGGTAGTTAGGGTAATGTTATTAGATCCGTAAAGCAGTCTAGTCTAAGTGCGCTTTGTTCCCATCCCCATCCCCATCCCCACAAGGCCTTCCCATACTGTTGGGCGCGCTTTGCCATTTTCTTCGATGAATACTTACACTACATAGGTATTGGCAGGTCCTGTAAATATATCTTTTCTATCTTTAGTCGTTCTTTTTTGTTTGTTTCTTTCTTTCTTTTCGTTCGTTTCCCTTGAGTCGCTCTCTCCCTGGCGCCTGGTAGACAGTATCTATCATGGCAGCTCAAGACCCAAACGCGCCGACAGACAGCAATGGCGGTGCTCTGGTGGCTACCGCCGTCGCCATGCTGGCGTTTTCCTGGCTATCTGTTTCTCTAAGGTCGTTTGTTCGCGCCAAGCTCACCAACGGCTTCCAATGGGATGACTGGCTGATGTTGCTTGCTCAGGTAAGTCATACTCGCGGGCGATGTTTTCGAGGTTTTTTTTTCTTATACTTACTCTTATAATTCGAACAGGCAAATTTCACCGTATCATGCTCGCTTATACTTATGGGGGTTCGGGATGGATTGGGAAGACACAACAAATCGCTGGACCAATACCATGAGATCCAGGCTTTGGAATATCAAGCTCTGGCTACGGCAACTTACGTCCTTAATATGTGGCTGATCAAGCTTAGTATCGGTATCTTTTTGCTACGTCTCGCTACGGAGAAGAGGTACAAATATACGCTTTACGGCAGTCTCATCATCGTCAGTATATGGAGCGTAGTTTTGTTCTTTTGGAATATCTTTCAGTGCAACCCGGTCTCCGCTCAATGGGATTATACGATTCTCGAGAAGGACTCCAACGCTCGCTGCGTCTCGGCCGACGAGATTGTCAATGCTGCATATGCACTAAGTGTTATGAACATCGTTTCCGATTGGTTATACGCCTTATTACCGATTCCCATGATTTGGAGCGTTAGGATGACGACACAAGCTAAGATGACCGTGGTCGTGGTTCTCGGGTTGGGTATTTTCGCGAGCGTCGCTACCCTCGTCCGACTCAAGTTTCTTTCCGATCTTACGGACATGGCAGATATCTTGCGTAAGTTCCCAGCTCTCATAAAAGTTCTCCATATCTAATAACGAATTATGCTGTGGCGTATGTGTGCTGATGGGTTATTCCTCATATAGATAGTGGTACTGATGCGATGGTCTGGACATTGATTGAACCAGGAGTTGCAATTGTCGCCTCGAGTCTTGTTACCATTAGACCTCTTCTTAGGCAATGGAGGATCAAGGGATTTGGTTCTAGCGGGCAGAGCCGTCCAGCTAATGCGGGCTATAACAGCTATTCGACGTCGCGTGCAAACCGATCAGCCAAGATGCCAGCTTTTGGATCTACTGAATTTACTCTCGTAGATCTCGAGAATGGTCATGCGAAGAATTCTAAGCCGTGCTCGCCAGTCGCCGGGTCGTTTAGTGGCAAGATCCAGCGGTCTCTGTCGTTATCGGATGCGGGTAGCATGACGAGCAAGAGTTACCTATCTCGAACATCGTCCGACGCTACGATTTATTCAAGAAAGGTCCAACGCTCTCGATCAATCTCGGATACCGACACTTTGACAGGCCGAAGCCATCGATCTCGGCCGTCATACATGTCGAGAGTTCGCGAAGCACCTACCGAAGAAGACGATGGACGACAAGAGTATTGGGGAAACGAATCCAGAAGGATAAATATAAAGAGCGAGATGTATGTCATCGAAGGAAACACGACGCCGACGATGCCCAAACCACCCTCTGGAGCTTATCAGCGCGACGAAACATGGCTGGCGGAACAGGACTCGTCGAATGACGGATCCTTCGATCTTGCACGCGTCCAGTCCCAGAACACCGATATTCCGAACCCGCTACAGCTGCCGAAGCCATTACCCCCATTACCGTCGTACCGAAGATGAGCACGCCTAATCGAGTTACAAGGAAGAACCATAGATGCATAAAAGCTACTTCAGACGATAACTACGACGACACCTACTACGGGAAATACCCACAGCGTCAACGCCACCTTGATCTATTCTTTTCGTTTTCCCTTTTCGATTCTTTTTGATGTACTTATAAACGGATATTATATATCGGGACATACTACCCAAAGGTATAAAACGGGGCTAGTTTATTAGGAAAGGCTGGGCCGTAGGGAATTAGCAAACGCGTGGGAATTAAAGGAGTTTATGGGGGGGAATAAAGGAAAAAAACGAAAAGTTCCTGGCCATGGAAGAGAAGCTGTCTTGACTACAGGGGAAGCAGGCAGTCAGACATCAGGTTCCTGGATATCTTTACACAAGAAAGGAATCTACGGGATACAACGGCAGGCGAATACGCCGCCTTAGGGGTTGTTATTATTACTCGATCAGGCGCCGAGGAAACTTGAAGCTAATATGCCCAAAAAGGGCTTTACTAACTACCTCCCAAGCTTGTTAGCTATTAAGGAGGTCCCGCAAGAGGAAGGTAGGAGTGACCAGCGCCCAAGAAGATACCGCGGCGTCTGGGGATGTTTACAATAAGAATTTTGCTATGTATGTACCTCCTATAACTATAGCAAATACCAACTGATTTACAATGTATCACTGATGGCTTTGATTGGAATGATATAATATAACTTTAGTTGATGTTATTAGAAAGGCTTAGATACTGACCTAGGCTATTCGATGTTCTCTTACAGCGCGAGATGACTAGGTATTGGGTGATTCTATGTAGGTACCTAAGGTATAATTTGTATAATAGACACCTGAGCAATTACATTAGCTTAGGTACCTCCCGCATAACCAACCCAGATAACCGGGATCATTCGTAATCTCCTCGCTCGTTTAAGCCTGTAATGTAGCCTGTAATGTAGCCTGTAATGTAGCCTATAATGTTAGGCATGTATATAAGGTATATAATATACCAGCACTTCACGCCGATTCTCGAGGTAACCGAAGCGTTGAGGATATAAGTAGCCGTGATCGGCCGCATCTGAAATATAGACCGAAATTAACAAAAGTAAAATGGAATTTTCCGTATAAGATACCTATATGTGATTAATACTACGTATCTACCTGTTCTAATATATTATTGCAACGTTATTATTAATGATTATACCTTAGGGTCCGTCTGCTCTTGTGGTTAGCAGCTTCGCCGTGCGCGAGTGAGTGGATATATAATTGCTGTAATAAGAGCCGATGAGCGGGTTACCCGGCTATCTTACGTACCTAGGTTTGTTTATTTGTTGGTTCCTTATTGTACACAAGAGCTCACCTATAGGATACCTATAGGCTATTGTATGGGCGGCGTACTTATATCTCATGCGAAATAAAACATATATTCGAGGCAATCACCGTGGGAAAGTACTTGGTTTTTAACCTTCGATTTTTCACTTAATATTTAACTTAGGTTAAGTCAAGGTACCTAATAATATCTTACCTATTGAACGTCTTGCATGTTTAACGTAAGACGATGAATACGCCAAGCGTTAGAGAATGAAAAAAAAAAAAAAAAACCATCACTAGATACTTATCACCATCACCATGTCTTATCTGTCCGACATACCCGCGGCTTCTGCGACGGAATATGGGGGGGGGGGGGGGGGGGGGGGGGACAAAAACCTTAAAAAATACTCCAAAAAAACGCCAAGGGCCCAAGCCCCCTGGGAAAACAAAAATAAAAACAGCCAATGCAAGCCAAA